CATTAGGTTGAATTTCTGATTTCACACTATGGGTTAGTCAAGAGATGGAAGAAGTCTATATGTAATTACAGAGGTAGTGACATGTATTTAAAAAAAATCCCACTTACCATTGGTTCTTTATGGCTCTTACCATTGTCATTCCCTTCTTTTTATCGTTTTCATTTCCTCTTCTGCTGCCTACATCTTTAAGGTTAGGAAACTCAAATACCTACTTGAGGGAGAAACTTCCAGATTTTCCTCACAAACAGGAGCCAAGCTTCTCACGAGGAGGAGAGTTTAGCGTTCCTGTTTTAAGCTGTGTTAATTGATGGCTACAGCTGGCATAGTGTGAGATAGAAGACTACATACAGTCTGTTCCAGGCTCAAAAATATATATGGATAAACACAAATCCTCTCGAAGGTCCAAAACAGGGATGAAGGGGGAGACTATAGGAAGAGAGTGAATATTTAGGCTTTATTTTATACTAACCGCTTGTTTGTTTTTCGGCATCCATTTAAAAATTTTTTTTGTTGTTGTTCTCGGAAGGCCCTGTTCAAGTGACTACACTAACAATGTCACACATAGCATACTGTGTGCAGTGTACTCTGTAGGTAGGTGTCAGAGCTCAGGTTTGTTTTTGCCCTTGTTCTTGAACAAAAGCTTCTTGTTTGCTAGCCTCCCAAATGTTCCTAGGTATTGTGTAGAAATACATTAATGTTTAAACAAAATAAATTATATGTCTTTTGAAAACAAAAAGAAAAGCCATACACATAAACACACATATACACAATGAAATTGACATTACCCCGTTCCTTCCTCCATGTGCCTCAGAGTTCTAGCCAACACCTGTGGCCACACAAGGGGCAGACGTGGCAGCTGCAGAACCCAGATGTCAGACACTGAATTGTCTATCCCTGGTAGCAGTCCTCAGATGGAGCCTGTCTCCTTAGCTGACCTCTGAAATGGTCTATTGTCCGACAACTTTTCTGGCCTGGGTAGTAACTAACAAAGTCTGTTGGGGCTAGTTCAGAGTTAGCCAACTGATGGCTTGTTCTGAAGGCAATTATCTTTTGCTTTACCTTTCATTAAAAGTAAGGGTGAAAACTGGAACTGAGTCAACTCTTGACAAAGATCTATATTCAGATTTCTTCCAAGGACAAATTAAGATGCTTTTTGCTTTGACCAATTTTTTTGTTTCCCAGTTGAAACTGGATGAGATCAATTTTCTATTTTAGCACCCAGTGAGTTTTCATTAATAAGAAGCAAAACTAAGAGGAAAATAATGCTTAATTTACCAAGCCTCTATAAATTGTACCTTTTGTCTCTTTTGGGTGTTCTCCATGTTTTTCAGCTTGTGTTTTCCTCTGCCTATAATAACCCACATATGTCCTTGAGATGAGTGAGGGATGATTTTAGATAAGGGAATATCCAGAATCAGGAACAGAATTGGAACATTCTTGGGCACCTATCCTCTCTGAAAGAAGACCGAATTTCCTTTTACTGCTTCTTAAAACTACTTCTTAAAAGTTGAAGATGAAATTCATGTTTCTTTAGAAAACTAAGGAGCCACACATTATTTTTACTATTATTAAAGAAAAATAACATTTATTTTTAAAGAGTTGTGGCATGAGATTTCTTGGTTTCTTAAGGAAAAAAAATGATTAGGGCATAATCTCATTTCTACATCACTTGCTGAAGTGTCATTACATTTAGTGTAAGATGCACCATCTTAGGAAAGAGATAGGTAAAAGGGCTCCATTTATGACATAACATTTGCAGCCCTTTAGAGAAGATCTACTATACAGTCATAAGTCAAGATACAATCTGAGAAATGAGTCATCGGCTGATTTTGTTGTTGTGTGAACATCATAGTGTACTGATAGAAACCTAGATGGTATAGCCTATTACACACCTAGGCTATATGATAAAAGCCTATTGCTCAGAGACTAGAAACCAGGATAGCATGTTCCTCTACTGAATACTAATGGCAAAGGTAACACAAGGGTAAACAGTTGTTTAGACATATCTAAACAAACAAAAGGTACAGAAAAAATACTAGGTGATAGGAATGTTTCAGCTCCATCATACTCTGAGTCCACCCTCATATATGCAGTCCATTATCGACTGAAATGTTGTTATGTAGCTTATGACTGTGCATATAGTTACAGACAAGTTGACAAGAAATATACCTGATATTTAAAGGAAGATGAATTCTGAGGAAACTACAAAATATAGCTAACATCAGATGGTACTCATGTGCCATGTAAAATGTTTCAAATTTCCTTTATTAACTTTTATAAAAATGTATGTATGTCTCTTGGTCATGACAAGACTTAGATTTGGAAAAAAAAAGACATAATATGCATTAAGTTCATACTAATGCAGATAAGCAACTGATAAATAACTTGGGGAAACTAGAAAAATCTTCCATGCAGAATAATTCCAAGTACTTTATATGATACTCACCCCTCAAGGAGCTGGAGTTTATATTTCCTTATTCCTTGAGTATGGGCTGTGCTTTGTGATTTAATTCCGAAGAGTAGAGTATAAAAGGACTTGAGGACGGGAACAACTTCATGGTAATCGTGGGAAAACACTACCTCAGCCAAATGGTCAAAGTTAACATCATCAGTAAGCCATCATGTTTATAGTATGCACTCTTGATATGGCGTGATCTCACCAAACTACACTTCACCTTTATGATATTCCTCCAAAACCTCACAATCCTAGTTTAAACATATGAAAATATCAGAAAAACTCAACCAGAGGGACAGTCTACTGAATACTTGACGAGTTTTCCTCAAAACTGTCAAGGTCATCAACAATAAGAGAAGCCTGAGAGAAAATGTTAAAACCAAGAGGAGCCTTAGGAGATAGGATGACTAAATGTAATGCGTTATACTGGATAGGATGCTAGGAGGGACAAAGGATATTGGGGGGGGGGGCACTATGAAATCTGAATAGAGTGTAGAGTTTGGCTGACAGTAGCATACAAATATTGGTTCCTTAGTTCTGTCAAAAAGAGGAGAAACACTATCTTTGTAATTTTTCTGTAAATCTGAAATTATTCTCAAATGTTTATTTAAAAATTTAGAGAGACGATTAATATTTTGCTATATTGATTGTAACAGAGCTCCTGTTAATCAATACATGTCTGTCTTTCTCTCTCACACACACACACCTATCCACCAAACATATGGCATTAAGATTCATTTTCCTGAAACATAAGAATATTTCATCTTTAAAGCCAATGTAGTGAGACCTATTTTGAAAGACTTAGATTTCCCAATAATTGGGTCATTCCCTCAGTAATATGCCACAAATGCTCAGAAGGTATATTCACAAACCTGTTATTTCTTGTTGGCTTTCAAAAATGTTACGTCTTTTATTCACCTATCGAATACACATAATTTTGTATAAGCAGTAATTAATGACATCATTAATAAGGGAATGCATTAATCTCTGAAAGTAACATATTCTGTGCTAGATTACTAAGGGCAGTATTCACTTACTGATCAATTGCTATCATGGGATATAAGGGGGTGAAATCTGATGTGCGACCATTTCAGACCCTAGATGGCATTTATTTACTGACTATTCCCCATCTATCCTTTAGAATGATAAGAAATGAAGATTCTGGGAAACACTGAAAAACACTCTTTTCATCCTATTTCCAATTTATCATTTTAATTGATGGAGGATAAAGTGTTGGTGTCAATGAATGTTTACTTTTAAAAACTTGTGGGTCTCTAGAATTATTCTTATGTTGACATTTTACTGATACAATTTTTAAAGTTGAGACAGTCAAAAATTAAGTAACCAAATAATAAACTAGCTAGACTAGCTTCTCTAATTCTATTTTTAGGACAGACAGCAAATGCCAATAAAGAAAGCAGGAAAAAAATACTTGCAACTTCCTGAATACATATTAGGGTTAAAAATAAAACTCAGTAAAATCACTTACATATTTTATAACTATAGTAATTTACAATAGTCACTTATATTAAGGAAAAGGGCCAGGATCCTTGACAATAAGGGAAAAAAAAGTGTTCAATACAGAATTTGTAGCCAAGGCAAAGAGTCAACTAACATACTTTAAGACTAGTTTTTCATAATAAAATACTGTGGTAGGAGAATCTACAATTCAGATAGGTAATTACTTTTTTTATATGAGTCATTAAGCAGTTTAGTTACTATATATTTTGCATTGTATTGAACTACTGTGTGTGTGTGTTTAGAAATCAGAATTAAAAAGTCCCTTTCACAGAACATCAACAATGTGTCAGGTGTTTAGCTACCAGGCATTTGACATACACCATTTATTATCCAACACAACCCTGCAAGTCAGGGACAGAGCCTATTTACTGAGCAAGGGAACTGGGGACCCCAGAAATTAGGGCACAGGTTCAAAGCCTTCAGCTTGTGAATGAGGGAGTCATTACAAATGCTGGCTGCCTTGAATGCTTGAATGCTTTCCTACGTATCATACAGCTTGCTTAGAATTTAAACTATGATTAACACTATTCAAGTAAATATTTATTTTTCACTAACTATGTATTTTAAGTAATTTAACCTTTTCTAGGATTCAGTTTTCTCTTGGGAAAAATGGAGTTGGTTGTTGATTTCTAATGCTTCTATTTTAAAATAGTAACAATGATTTATATATAGGAAAATAATTTAAATGGCTATTTTCACATCACTTTTATTAAAATTAGGTCATTAACACTTATCCTTACTAAATTTTGTGATAGGGATCTATCTAGATATGTGCGTGTCATTCCTTTCAAATCCCTTCAGTCCTATTAAGCCAAAATATTTGCTCTTACCATTTTCAATGTTATTTCTTGAAATTTATATATAAGAAGAAATTGCATACTTTTCTCTGCACTACACAAGCTATATACTTAAGTCTTTACCTCCTACAGAGTCTGAAACTTGCACTCAGATATGAATAATGCAAAGAAAGCCATTTTTATGGATCTGAAAATAATCAAAATATTCATTTATTTTAATTCACATTTATTTAAATATAACAATTCCATAGACAAGTGAAAGTAATTAAAAGCATACATGGTAGACATAAATAAAGTGAAATGTATAATTATTTTAGACAAGAGTTAACACATATATTAGACTAATTGACTGCATGATTAACATTTAGTTTTAAGAGTACATTAACATGGAGATTTAAAAAGGATATGCCTTTAAAAAAAGTGCTACAAAATGTTCACATTTATGTCAGTAATAAGTTATATCTCTTAGACTGATGTTTTATAAAACTATGTAAATATCTAATTTAATCATTAACTTCACATGGTAACATTTGCAAATGAAGCACATTTTTGTTAATAGAAATGTTCTTTAAATAATATAGCATTTTATCAAGACCAGGCCACATTTATTAAACAAACATGCATAACACATTAAAATCTGAATAATTCATGTACCTTTAGTTTTGCTACAGCACTCCATCTTTGTGAAAAAATATATTTAATAGTTTGGCACAGAATTAATAAATCATATTGCTACTAATAAAAATAAATGTGACCTAAATTTTCCATGGCATAGAAGATTCACTATCAAATTAACCTCTTCCCTTTATGTTTTATCGACAAATGGCAGTTCTCTTCAGTTTTAGTTGGAATAAATGACAGATACCCAAGAACTGAAATTCATACCTAGGTGTAAGAACTGAGTTCAGTATTTATAATAGTAAAATATTTCCATCTGTATCATGGCCAACAAATTTCTAAATAAGCGAGTTATCAGCAATATTAAATACCATCATGAGATGTTCTTCAGGAGGCAGAGATGTTGAAAAGGAAATGTGGATCTCTTCATACACAGGGAACATATGTGTAAGGAGAGCAAATGCCAACTGAGGCAGAAGCAGGAAAAGTTCTTTGGAAAGTTGGTTGGATAGCACACATGGAAGAGCAGAAAAGGCTGAGAACAAAGAAATCATTCGGGGTAGAAAGGACTGTTGCAGGTCTAAGAAAGCTGAAGTGTACCACTCAAGGTAGAGCATTTTCTTGATTCAGCAAATGATCACTTTTACATTCCCACATCAGTTTGTCTAAACCAAGAATGAAGAAATTAACAACAAACTTTTTTCCCCTCCCAGAATTCATTCATAAACACTGTGGAAGAAGAAGCGAATAATATGAACTCAAGCTTCTTCTGAACCAAAGAGACTTCACACTCTCTCTTCAACTCAGACTACAGAGTTGTGGTAGCCAAGAAAAATGCCCGAGTTCTTTTTCACAGTGTTGTATTTTGAAACGCCAACTGAAGCAATCTTTTATAAAATGGATAGCTTCAGTTTTGTATTTATGACATGGGGGAAGAGGTAAGTAGAACTGGAATTCAATTTTTATACAAATGTACATTATTCTAATATATAAAACAATGAACATGATGCTATTTTATTTGGTTTACGATCCTTGCTTTTCTGAAGGCCTTCAAAGAGTGCAACGGCAAAAAACATAAAATAGATTAAATATACAAAAATTTTTTAAAGCTGTTAAGATGTAAATGAAGATTACGAATCACATAGCACTGAATTTTCAAGAGTAAAATCATACCAAAATCGTGATAAGTTTTCGCTGACATCATACGAGAGTAAGTGGTCAGGAAGGTCGCTGATGGTGCCCTGCACTGCCAGCACATGTGGGGCCAAGGTGAAGGGTACGTCGCTCAGGAGCTCCGCCATTAGTGAGCTGCTCTCCAGAGTTTGGCCTGCCTTATTTTCCGTCTCAGGGCCTGCCACAGTCACACTGGATGAGTTTTCTTTGCCAGTCTAAAAATACATATATATTTAAAACATTTAGACCATATGAACTGTAAGGTTTAGTAATGGTAAATGTGGCATCAACACATCAAAATGATTGAGAAATGTGTAATATATAAATACTTCCAGATTTGAATGCAATTATTTACTTTACTTGAATCCAAGTCTGTGCTAGGTTTTAAAATGAATCTTAAACTCTACTCTTAGAATGACCATCTATAGTCCCTTAAATACTATCTGGCATTCTTGCTGTTTCCCTAACCCAGATAATGTCTACAAAATTCTTCTCTGCTTTCCCAACTCTTTCCCTGATGCTTTCAGGCTCTGCTGCATGCCCAGCTTCCCTGAAAATTCTTATAATACCAGAGTCCAAAGTAATCTTGCTCACTTCAGAATGCTTATGGGACAAACTGCTAACAATATTATTTGGTGTTTCCTAGAGGTATTCTTTAAAAAAGAAATACACACACACACACTTTTTTCAGTTGTGGTGGACACAATACCTTTATTTTAATTTTTTTATGTGGTGCTGAGGATCGAACCCAGTGCCTCATGCATGTGGGTAAGTGCTCTACCACTGAGCCACAACCCCAGCCCTCCTAGAGGTATTCTTGTTAACTATGGTTCCATATGCACAGAGCTTATCTCCAACTAGTCTCTACAGTTCTTGAGTGCGAGCAATCTAATTGGTATGTCTTGTATTACCACCTTGCATACTTTACGGATTTATCCTAATATATTTTATTATATTAATATATATTAATTAATGTTAATTACCTTTAATGTGTGTCCTGAACATGGATTGTCTGATTTCCACTGGAATTAGCATGTTATGTTGCAATTGTCATCAAATAAGAATTGACACATCTCTTGCAAACACTTGTTTACTAAAAGACATGCACTAAGATGTTCACGGCAGCCCACATCACAAACCCCAAAACTGGAAACTACCTAAATATCCCTCAATAGCAGAACAGATAACAATAATTAAAGTCTATTTCCAGAAACTAAAATGAATGAATGACCTGCCACTATAAGCAGCTGAAATCTAACTCAAACTAGCTCAGGCAAAAATAAAAATAAGGGGCTGTGGCTGTGGCTCAGTGGTAGCACACTTGCCTGGTATGTGTGAGGCACTGAGTTCAATTCTTAGCGCCACATATAAATAAATAAATTAAAAAAAATAAAGGTGTATCAACAATTTTAAAAAATAATAAAAAGACTCCCTCCCACTTCCACACCTTCATCTCACACAGAATGAATTTGTCTTTGCAGAGGCCTACAAAGCCTTCTGAATCTGGCCCCAGGTATTTCTCTGACCTTACTCCAACCAGCCTGCTCCTACCTCAGGTTCTTTACTTTCCATTCCCTCTGACCAGGTGGTTGTTCTCCCAGAAATACGGGATTCCTTCCCTTACCTCCTTCCAAGTTTTGTCCAGGATGCCACTTCTTCAGAGAGGCTTTTCCTGACCACAATATTTAACCCTGTAGGCTATCACTTCACCTTCTCAACTCTGTACTGTCTTTCCCTCCTGCTTTCTGCTTCCCCATATCCCTTCGTACCTTGCTGTATACTACATAACTCATTCTGATTATTGTTTCTCAGAAGGAGCTTTTACCTCTCATGTTCACTGCTTTATCCCAAATACTTAGTGTCTAGGCCTTAATAAATATTTGTCCGGTGAATGAAAGCAGACAAAACTCTTGCCTTTATAGAGCTTATATTCTAATGGCTATAAATTCTGATAAATTCTTTAAGTCTAAAGGAGAACAATTTTCTGTAAGAGACATTTTTGTAAAACTTTTTACTGAAGTATAAAATACATATGGAAAAGGGCACATTATAAGAGCATAGCTTGTTAAATTTTCACAAACTGAACACACATGGGCAGCCAGCACTAGGATCAAGAAAAAACAAAGATGGTTCTTTTTCCATCACAATCACCTCCCTGCCCTCTAGTCACCATCCTTACTTATAACAGCAAAGACTGGTTGACCTGTGTTTGAATTTTAAATAAATGTAATTGTACAGTACGAATTCTTTTGTTTTAGGTTGTTTTCAGTATTATATGTAAGAGATTCATCCATATTATTGCAAGTTGGATAAAAAAAAAGTGAAGAACATATTGTTGCAGAGGACATATATTCTGACTGATATCTTAAAAGAATTACTCTGATTGTAGCATTGACAGTAGACAGTGGGGATGGGGTTGGGTAGCCAGTAAAGGAAGCTGAAAGATAGCTGAGAACAGAGATGACAGTGAGATTCAAGAAGGTTGTAATAGCAAAGGTGAGATGAAATGGTTGAATTGTGAATAGACTTTGAGAGTAAAACCAACAGTATTTGCAAGTGGAATGGATGGTGGGGCATAGAAACAAGAGTGCAGTCAAGCTGTGCCTCTTGGCACAGACCCATAATCCCAGTGACTCTGAAGCTGAGGCAGGAGGATTGCAAGTTTGAGGCCAACCTCAGCAACTTAGTGACGTTCTAAGCAACTTGGTGAGATCCTGTCTCAAAATTAAAAAAAATAAAATAAAATAAAAAAGGGATGGGAATGTGGCTCAATGGTTGAACACCCCTGGGTTCAATCCCTAGTACAAAAAAAAAAAAAAAAGTACGGGCAAGGATGAATCCAAAGTTCTTGGCCTAAGCCATGAGAGGGATGCAGTCACTATTTACAGGGATAAGAAAGAGTACCCAAGGAGCAGGCTCAGGCAGGAGACCTAGGTTCTATTCTGAAGGTCTGAGGTGCCTAACTGACATCAAATGGAGCTGTTGGTATGAAGAAGGATATGATTTGAATCTGGAGCTGGATGAGATCTGGAGATAAACATGAACACAGACAATTTTTCAAGGCATTGGAACGGTAAATGAGAAAAAATATATGGGTTGGTATTTAAAGGGGTGTGGTGGAAGCAAAAGATTTCTTTTTTTTTCCCTAAGTTGGGAGACATCATGACATCTTGTAAGCTAATGAGAAGAAGCTATTAAGAAAAATACATGAAGAATCTGTAGAGAAGGGTGGAGCTGGGGATGTAGTTCACTGATAGAGTGCTTGCCTACCTAGTATGTGTAAGTGCATGGGTTCAATACCTAGCACTAAAAAAAAAAAAAAAAAAAAAAACAAAAAAAACAATAAACTTGTAGAGAAGGAACTGTTCTCTTCACAAAGCATCCCCAACACCTACAACAGGCCCCTCAAATATCTCAAATATCATTTAGTGAATGACCTTAAATGAAACAAGTTATTCAACACATGCCTATTAAGAGTAGTCATCTTAAAATTTCACAAGAAAATAACACCAGTGTACTTTCTTAGGGCTACAACTAAAACAAATGTAAACATACCTTATTATGACAAAGTTTATTATTAAAGATCCACATACAGATCTGTCTCCTGAAACTAACTAGGACTTACAATGTTAAGCATCCTGGGGTCAGCCAAGAGCACAGGTATCAGTGAGGAGTGATGAGCATCCAGACTATTTAAAGGGCTTCACTAAGTGGTTTGTATAGAAAAACTGAAAAGGAAGCAACATTGGGTATGCCAAAAATAACACAAGATTATGTATGCATCAGAGGTTTGGTTACTTGGGAGTAGCACAGCAAAATGGATTAAGAGCACAAATTCTAGAGCCCGACTGCTAAGGTACAAATCCCAGATCTCATGTTTAGTGATAAACAAATTGCCTTAAGCTATTAACTTCTCTGTGTCTCAGTTTCTTTAGCTGTATTATAAGATCAGTAATAGTATGTATTTCACATGATTGTTCTGAGAATTAAATAAAGCAATGTTTTTAAGTAAGCAGAATAGTGCTTAGCACGGGTGAAGAAAGTGAATTAATAAAAACTTTAGGAATGTCAGATCCCATTTGGCTTTAGACAAAGTCTAGAATCCATTTATCCCTTTAGTGTTTGACATTTACTGGTGGTTCAAGTAATTTTCCCTTTCCCCTACCGCATCCCCCAATTTTTTTACCTACTGTTGATCTCAAGAGCAAATCTTACATAGATCTATTAGTTTCATTCGGTCCTCAAATTTTCTTTCTCTCTCTCTTTTTGGGTTGTGTACACAATGTTATTCAATTTCATTAGCCAAATCACGTCCTGATCTCACCTTTACAACTAAGGAGAAGGTATGTTACCTGTAGCCCTGCTTTCTAAACATACAACTTCAAAGCCTAACTCTTCAGCAGCAATATTTATTCCTTTTGTCCATGCTTTTATTAATAATCTTTCCAAACCATTCTTATGGGTCAGAGCATTATTCCTTGAAGACAATCTATAGCAAACCAATCTAGTATAATAAAGGATTTGATACATGTGGCTGGTTTCTTGGTCAAGTTCTACTTATAAAACTACATCTGACCAGAAGGTGGATGCTTCACACATCAGAGCCTCGGCCCTCTATTCTGTAAAATGAGTAGTGAGGGACCAAAGGTGGTGATGGTGGTAGTGATAATGATGATGATGATTGCAATTATGATGAAGACGGCAACTAGCATATGTACTGAACACTTACTTTGTGCCAGGTTTTATCTTAGCTTTATAAATATATCCACTCACAGAAGTCTTCTAATAGCTCAGTGGTCTTCTAACAGTCTGTGGCATGTGCCTCATGTTTAAGACAAGAGGACACTGAGGAACAGAAAGGGTAACTGGAAGTTGTCCCAGTTTATATATGTAGTTGGTAACGATACTGAGAATCAAATCCAAGTGATCCTTAATGGTCTATTAGCAAGAACCAGTACATTTCTGAGACATTGTGGGTAGACTGACCAAGTGAACAAAGCCTTGAAAATTCATGGGACAGTATTAGAAAATATGAAAAATACTATTGAAGCATATCCTGGCTTAATTTAGAAGGACAAAAAAAAAAAAAAGACTGCCTTTGGGAAGAAAAGTCTAATCAAATGTCTTACAGACAGACTGAAAAGGGATAGAAAAGCAACTGTAATTTAAGATAAGTTTATCCCTGAAAATGAATCTACCAGCAGTCTGGGTAGAG